TTTTTTTTTTTTTTTTTTTTTTTTTTTTTTTTTTTTTACGGGGGGTTCTTTTTTTTTTTCCCCCTTCTTTTTTTTTTTTTTTTTTTTTTTTTTCAAAGCCCAAGGTGTTATAGAGGCCAAGGACCAGACTCACGGTGATTGCTGGGCGGCAGCCAATGGTTGTTCTGACAGGATAGGCCACCTACGCTACCCATCCCCACGTTAATACTCCCAGCGCACCCCCTGTCCCTACATGTTCTTAGCTGAGCCAGTGGAGAAGAAGACCAACAAGCAAACTGACTGGGGGGTCTTGAGGGGGTTGGGAGCCTTGTGGGGACAACCACCAGCCCTCTGTCTTTGTCCCCCAGTTAACCCTCATGTCCGCCGCTACTTCAAAAAGTTGAATTGTGTCAGTGAGCGCCTTTAGTGAGGTTGAGGAGGCCCTGATGAGAACCGTGAGGTCGTCAGCTAATAGTGACGTCACCGGTATGAGGTGCGAGGGCAGTTCGGGGATATCAATACGCTCTATATTCGGGTTGGATCGGATCATTGCAGCCAGGGCTTCCATCATTGGTACGAACAAGAGAGGAGCTACCGGGTCATCTTGTCTCACTGACCTCTGGAGGGCAACCGTTGACCATAATGCTGGTTTCGGCGGATCTGTGCATGGTGGACACCCACGCCCTGAAGGAGTCACCGAAGTTCATTTTCTGCAGACATTCATCCATGGAGTCCCAATCGACATGGTCATAAGCTTTCTCAAAATCTATAAACAGGACGACTGCTTTCTTCTTGTGTTGCCTAACGTATTTAATTGTTTAATGCACCAGTAACACATTGTGCTGAATATTTCTTTGTGGCATGAATCTAGTCTGATCCTGGTAGATCAAATGAGACATATACGGGAGTAGTCGATTAGTCAATGCTTTGGATACCATTTTGTATGACAGGGGAAGAAGCGTGATAGGTCTATAATTTCTGACGTCCTTCTTATCCACTTTTTTGTACAGTAATCTAGTGATTACTTGGCTAATCATGTTTCCAAAGGTCCCTTCAGTCCAGACTGCTTGTACATACGTTGAGGCAGTCTTGGAAGACTGTCCAGATTTGTAACCAGAATTCCTTTGGAAAGGAGTCGATACCTGGGGTCTTCTCATCTTCCATTCCCTTTAGGGCATTCAGCAATTCATCCGCTGACAAGGGTGTTTCCAGCGATTCTCGTTGGGGTGCTAAGAGCATCACTGGAAGATGTTGGAGCATCTTTTGTCTTGCATGTGTCAGGCGGTCAGTGCATAGTCTACTATGGCAAATGCATTATTTGCCTCTGGTAGGGATGGGTCGAAGGGGTGGCGGAGTGACAACACTGTTGCTTGTCTAGCTCTTGCCCTAGCCTTCCTAAAAAAAAATTTTGCCATTGTCTCTTCCGTGTCTTGTTTTCGTATGCGTGCCTGCACCCGCCAAGCTTCAGCCTGTTCATTCAAATAACTTTGCAAATGCTCCCTTGCGACAGCGCTGGGCCCCCCAGCCGACCATGGTCAAGTCCTGGTTCAAACGGTCTTGCAAAGACTGGCCAAATGGGACGAACTGCATACATCACTCATATGCAGAGCTCTGGCAATAATGCCAATAAACAACGCAGTCTTGTCTACTATTTGGTACAAGACGACTTTCTGGGAGCTCCCGAAGAAGAAACTTACAAACCTACTGGCAACATTAGCAGCGTACCTCTAGAGAAACGACCATGAACTCACCCGATTTATTAAAAGAGTTGCATGGAAATATGTGACACAACAAAAAAAGGTGGGAGGATTAAGCATCCTTGACCCGGGGGATGAGATCAGAGCCTTGATATTTAAAGTGATCATACACCTCCTGTTAGCTAATGACGTACCGTGGCTGCCACTAGCACACATGCAACTAGCGCACTTGGCCCCTCCTTCCCACCCTGACCATCCAGTTCATCCACTCAGTTGCCAATTGCTAACCAACAAGGACTGGTCTGTTCCGAATACCCCGCGCCATAAGAGGGATGACACAAGCAGAAATAACACAAAATGGGACATAAAAAATGACCCTCTGTGGCCATCAATGCTGGAACTGTGGAGGAGCATGGGGCCAACCAAAAATCCCCCTCCGCTCAGGTGGCAGGAAATATGGAGACAGCCACTGTTCGGGAACCCGTTCGTCCGCGACAGCAATGGGAAGCCTTTCTCCCTGACGGCGAATTCCCGCTGGCTAACATGGTGCGAAATGGAATCTACACCATTAAAGATTTATGGGACTACCATACAAGATCATGGAAGTCGACCCAGCGGCTGCATCACATCCTAAAGTACATCAAAGGGAGCCAAGGTAAGTTGCAACAGTTACAAACGGCTGTCCCGCCCCCGTGGGTAAATACTTTGCAAAATGGTCTGGGGTTGTGCGCCCTTGATTGGGTCATACGGGCTTCACCTAACCCTATCCCCATGACCATCTTCAGAGTGTCACACATCACACATGAAGGGGTGAAGTTGCACGCATACGAACCGGATGTGTCGGGGGCAAGGTGGGCCTCCTTGAAAAGGAATCGGCTATTGGACTGCTCAGTCCCATATTTTGAATTGATCAGAATCAGAGTTGTGGGATCCGAAGACACAGGTTACTACTCATATGAGATGTCCACCCCAGTCGGTAACCTGCCTTTTGATCCGCAAAAATGGGGATGGAACGATCGTAACCCCACCCCGATATGGCAGTACTCTGTCAAAGAGGGTTACAAGCGGGCTCACGCCCTCCACCCCTCCACGACGGTAGTTAAGAGCAGGTGGAAGAGAGATTCCCCGGTGTCTCAGCACAACCTGCGCCTCATCCCATGGACTACGTATGCTCACATCATGCCCACCTCCCATAGAGCCCTACAATGGCAAATAACCCATCGATGCCTTCCGACACCAGATTGGGTAACAGCGAGATCAAACTTGGAGCAGAAGGGAGTGCTATCCCCCATCTGTGCCCACTGTGGACCTGACACCCAACCGCGAAGGGCGGATCTAGAGCACTGCCTCCTCGACTGCCCAATGGCAAGAAGAGTATGGCAACGGTGGTATGTGATGTGGCACATGCTCACGGGCGAGGTGTTCCACTGGGACGTTGCTCTTATCTTACTAGGAAAGCAAAAGAATATTCCTCCAGCATGGTCACCCTTTCAGCATGACCTGTTCAAACATATGAAGTTAGCGGTCCTCATGGTTACCTGGCGTGAAAGGTGCTCAGTGGAAAGACAAGAGGCGGTCTTTGGCTTCTATCAACCCAAGGCAGAATTAGGGGAAATCATTCATGCTAAATTGGTGAAGGCTTGCAGTGAACTCAGGCCGCAAGTGGTAGTGGCCAGAAGGGATAGGCAGGCCAAGAGGAAAGCTGTGGCTGCCTTCTGTGAGCTTTGGCTCGATCCTCAGAAGAAGATGGCGGAGGTGAATGAAAATGGGATTTTGACTTGGAAAAACTGGGCTGCTCAGGATGATCAATGGTCATACCGGAGAGCGGAATGTTTTACTGTACCTCTCCCGGGCCAAACACGCAACGCATTGACAGTGCTCAATTTGGTCACTGCCCAGGATCATCAGGCACACAATGGCCTAGCTTCCCAGCCTCCACAGGTGCCACAATCCCCTCCCATGTCCACGCAAATGTTGCCACCCATGTCGTCCGCCCCCCCTCCGCTTACCCCGTCAT